ATAGGAGGTAAGTTTCTTTGGGCTCTTTAGGGTGGATTTCGTTCTTTTTTTTTACTAACTTCTTCTTTTTTTAGAAGTGGAGCGATCTTTCTTTCTTCAGATAGGAGATAAGTCTTCTTTAGAGGTTCTTGGGATTTCTTTGGGGTGGATTTCGTTCTTTTTTTTACTAACTTCCTCTTCTTTTTTTTAGGATTAGATCTTTCTTTCTTTTTCAGATAAGAGGTAAGTCTTCTTTGGGAGACTCTTGGGATTTCTTTGGGGTGGATTTCGTTCTTTTTTTTACTAACTTCCTCTTCTTTTTTTAGGATCGAATCTTTCTTTCTTTTTCAGATAGAAGGTAAGTCTTCTTTGAAGGTTCTTGGGATTTCTTTGGGGTGGATTTTGTTCTTTTTTATTAACTTCCTCTTCTTTTTTTAGGAGCGGAACTTTCGTTCTTCTTCGAATAGGAGGTAAGTTTCTTTGGGCTCTTTGGGTGGATTTCGTTCTTTTTTTTTACTAACTTCCTCTTCTTTTTTTTTAGAAGCGGATCTTTCTTTCTTTCTTCGGATAGGAGGTAAGTCTTCTTTGGAGGCTTTTTGGATTTCTTTGGGTGGATTTCGTTCTTTTTTTACTAACTTCCTCTTATTTTTTTTAGGATCGGATCTTTCTTTCTTTCTTCAGATAGGAGGTAAGTCTTCTTGGGGGTTCTTGGGATTTCTTTGGGGTGGATTTCGTTCTTTTTTTTACTAACTTCCTCTTCTTTTTTTAGGATCAGATCTTTCTTTCTTTTTCAGATAAGAGGTAAGTCTTCTTTGGGGGCTCTTGGGATTTCTTTGGGAGTGTATTTTGTTCTTTTTTTTACTAACTTCCTCTTCTTTTTTAGGAGCGGATCTTTCTTTCTTTCTTGAATAGGAGGTAAGTCTTCTTTGGGGTTCTTGGGATTTCTTTGGAGATAGATTTCGTTCTTTTTTTTACTAACTTCCTCTTCTTTTTTTAGGAGCGGATCTTTCGGATAGGAGGTAAGTTTTCTTTGGGATCTTTGGGATTCCTTTAGAGGTTAGATTTCATTCTTTTTTACTTATTTTATTAATTTTTTTATTTTAGAAGCGGATCTTTGTAAGTCTTTCTTAGAATTTTTAGAATTTCTTTAGGGTGGGTTTCATTCTTTTGCTAACTTCCTCTTCTTTTTTTTTAGAGATTTTAAGTGATTTTTTAGGATGAATTTACTAGTTTCCTTTTCTTTTTTTCTAGGAATGGACATGATTTTTATATGCTGAATAATGTTACAAGCATACTACAATAATTCTGATGCAAATGTGATATTTTTTATTATTAACTTCTTATTTTATCAATCTATTCGAGTTGCTTCTAATGGAATTGATTTTTAGAATTTATGGATTAGTAATTCATAAAAGTTTTTGAAATAAAAGGTTACTTTTTTTAAATAGTGTTTTAAGGATTTTCTCTTTTTTTGACAAGTAAAAAATAAAATAAAATAAAAAATAATTCAAAAAAGAAAATATGATTTTAAATGATCTTTAATGACTTTAAATGATATCATTTTTGTTATAAAATAATTATACCGTATTTTCTGAAAAATTCAAATGATTTTAAAATAGCCAATCAAAATTTGACTGTTAAAACTAATTATTAATTTACCTGAAACTTATATAATTTATTAATAAATATACTCCCGAAACTCTAAAATATATTTTAGGTTAAGGTTAAAATGTTATCTCATCTCCAAAACCACCGAAATTAATTTTGGAGTTCTGGAGTTTCAGGGATTTATAGTTTCAGCCAGCAGCTTTAGATATACATAGTAACTTAATTCTTTATTAAATATAGATATAACAATTCAATCTGAAAATTATAAAATATTTTTCAATATAAAATTTAGTGATTTTCTATAATAAGCTTTTTTTGCAAATTTTTATAATTAAAGAAAAGCTACTTAATATTACTACTTATTTAGAATTATCTGACAATAACATAATTTTCAGAAGAAATTATCAGTTTAAAATTTTCTTTCTTATAAATTATAAGAAAATAATATGGATTTAATAGATATATAAATAACAAAATACTTCTTTATATTAATTTTTATAAAACTAAGTTAAATGTAAAGATGAAAATAATTTTATCAGTTTTATTTCAGTTTTTCTTCAGTTCTATTTAACTATTTTTTTGCATGTATGCATACATACATTTTTAGTAACAAAATATACACAGTCTATATAACCCTATACTTGTCACCTATACTATAAGATTTGAAACAACACATAATGCTTATTGAGTTATAATTTATGAGCATTAAAATTGAAAAAAATTCCAAATCCTAATTCCAATTCCAATTTTAACTTCCAATCCCAAATCCCAATTCCAATTTCCAATTCTAATTTTAATCCAATTCAAAATTCTAATTCTAATCTCAATCTTAATTCTAATTCTAATTCTAATTCTAATTCTAATCTCAAATAAAATAAAATTAAAAATAATAAAAAAAATAAATGGGAAAAGAAGGGATGAATAAAAAAAATGTATATATAGTCAACCCTCTTTAAATATTACCTTCTTAGGACCATAGTAAAAATTTTAAAAAATATGTATTTAAAGAGGATATGCATTTAAGAGAAAATTTTTATATAAATTTTATATGCTTAGGACTGAATAAGAACATATATTTAGATAGAAAATATATAGTGTATACATTTAGAGAGGATGTATTTAGAGAGGGTTGACTGTATAAAAATTACAAAAAAAACTAAATTAATAGTTGAATAAGAAGAACAAAATTAAAAATAAAAAAATATAAATTAATATATTAAAAAATAAAAATAAAAATAAAAAAAAATAAACTGAGAAGAGGGAAATGTATAAAAAAAATTGTATGTATAAAAACTAAGAAAAAAAATTAATAAATTAAATAAAAATGAAAAAATAAAAATGAAATTAAAAAAAAGGGAGGGGTGATAATAAAAAAATATATTAAAAAAATAAATAAATTAAAAAAATATAAAATAATTTTTTTTTTTTGAATCAATACTTCAGACACCTTCAACTCATCATGGTGATGTAGTCAGATGTGTAATAATTTAATTCTTTTTTGTATTAATTGGGATTACTAATTCTGTTTTTTATTATTATTTATTTTAATTTTTTTCATCTTTTAAGGTGATTTCTTTAGATTCAGATCGATTAGTTTATCATAACAATGCAGTCAGAAGTGTGAAAATTTGATCCTATTTTTGCATTGATTAGGATTACTAATTTCTTTTTTTATTATTTATTTTAATTTTTTCTATCTTCTAAAATAATTTCTTTAGATTAATCAGTTTATCATAGCGGTATAGTCAGGTATGTGATAAATTTTCTTTTTATTATTCTTTCTATTGTTACTTTATTATTTAATCTATAATATTTTCTGAAGGATTTAGTGTAATTTATAATATAAAAATATAGCACTATCTTTATCTGAAAAGGAAGAATCTGACTTAATCTTATAAAATAAATAAAATATATTATTGATTAATTAACTAAATTAAGAAAAAAAACAAATAATAAAAAAAGAAGAGGATTTTAAAAATTTCTCAGATTTGTTTGAAAATCTTGCATCTATTATTACTAAAGAAAGGATTAATTTACTAATTGTTTCTCATATCTTAACCTAATCTAATTATGTTACATAAAAATAATTTTCTCATACTTTTTTTAAAATATAATATTTTATAATACAGCTTATTCTAAAAAACACATATATAGAATAATCAAAACTTCATTAGCAAGTAAAGTAATACTTTTAGCAATACTATAAAATTTTCATTTTATTTATGATTAGATGATTATATTTTATATACAGTCATCATTTTTTTTAGTTTTATACAAACTTCTTCATATTTTATTCTTTTATACAAAGTTCATTTTTTAGTTTTTATTTATACAAAGGCTTGTAATTATTTTATTTTTTTTACATAGCCTTCATTTTTTTACGTCTTCAATATTTTTATTTCTAATTTTTTTGATTGTTTAGATTATCTTTTTAAATTTTGTTTTTCAATCTTTTTTTTATATCAATTTTTTTCTTAAACAATTATTTTTTCTTATTTTATTTTATTTTTTTATAAACTTATTTTTTTGAAATAAATTTTATATTTTACCTTTTATTTGTTATTTTAAAATAATAATAAATATTTTATATAAACGAAATTTATTTACAAACGAATATATATATTATATATATTTTTTATCTAATTTTTTTTAAATGAATTTTTTAATCATATTTACTTATTTTTAAATGAATTTACATTTTTTAAAAATGATAAATTATTGCTTTATTCAAATTATTTTTTTTTATAAAAAAATAATTTTTTTATATTTATTAATCATTATTTATTATAAAGTAGTATTTCAGGAGAAACAACAATATTTGATAATTTCTTTATAGATGATAATGATATTACACCTCTATTACAATAAAAATAAAGCATAAAGCAGTAAATAAAAAGATGATATATAAGAATATTTTAATTCAATCGATATTCTAAAAAATTCTCATAAATCAGTTCAATGTAAATTTTATAATCAAACTTGAAAATAAGAAAACTAAGCAATATAAAAGTAAATTTAACTTTTAAATATTCTATGATTATATATGATGTAAATCTTGAATATTGCTATGATTAAAAGTAATGATATTTTAAAATCAACTAATAAAAGATGAAAATTAGACAATAAAAATAACCTATACAACTATTTTAATAGTGATAAAATTGATGAAACAAAAATCTTATAAGTTTATAAGACTTTAATTTGATTTTTTATTTTGTGAAATCCTATTTTCTATTATAAAATCTTTTTTTTTTAGAGATTTTACAAAGAGTTTATGCTATAAATATGAATTACTAAAATATTTAGCATTATTTAATCAACTATTAGATACTTAGATAATAAAATATTATAATAAAAATTGAAGAAGAGTTACGACAAGCAAAAAATCTAAGTTTAATAAGAAATTTTATTATATTTTTTATCTTATTTGATAAGATTTAAAATATATTTAATAAAAATTTTAATATATTATTAGGAATTAATTCTGGACTAGTCCTCTTAGATATTATATATATGCATTATATTTATTACTTCTACTTGATGTTAATATACATATATTTTATTAATAATTTTTCTTTTAATTAATATACTGCTACATTTAATTAAGAATAAATATTTAAAGTAATTGAATTTATAGGTCAAAATAAATTTATAGCTGTTGTTACTAATGCTAAACTAGTAATACAAGTAGTAAAAAGATGATTAATAAATAAATATAAATATATTATAGCAATTAGATATATCACACATCATATTAATTTAGTTATAAAGGATATTCTTACTGTTGAATGAGCTAAAAAATACTTTAAATATGTTAAGTAAATTGTAATATTTTTTTATAGTGTATATCGAGCTGATGCAGCATTATGAGATGAAATTATTACTTCTTTAATATTAGAGAAAATTTAAAATCTTCAGTTAAACTCGGTGAAGTATAGCTTGAAATGTTTGTGATTCAATTTTACAATTAGAAAATTGTTTTAAACTTGTTAATATTTCTAATATATTATTTTTTAAATTTAGTTTATAAATTTAGTTTATATATTAATATTTTTTTATTTAATTAATAAAGGTTCTTGAAGAACTACCAACTATAATTGTTAAAGCTATTGAAGTTAAAGTAATTATTCAAAATTGACAATTTTGGTATAATGTTAAATAATTAAAAACAATTTTATATCCTATAAAGAATACTATAAAGGCTCTGAATTTACTATAATTATATTAGTTGATTGTTTTTTTAAATTAATTAAAATAGCATATTGTCACGATGGTTTCGTAGTTTCAAATAAAATCTCAAAAGGGTAAATAAAACTAAGACAATTACTCAAGGAATCACGGGTAAGGATTCACAATAACG